TTGTGAAGTCAATGGGAAGTTGTACCGAAGAGCCTTCTCTCAACCCCTCTTACGTTGCTTGGCGTCGCCCGAGGCTGAGACAGTCCTATCCCAGGTCCATGAAGGCATATGCAGGGAATATGTCGGCGACCGAACCTTAGCTTTCAAAATCCTCAAGCAGGGATACTACTAGCCAACCATGCACCGAGACGCACCATCATACGCGCAACAGTGCCAACAATGCCAGAAGCATGCTCGGATACAATATCAGCATGTAGTCCCTCTCACCCCGATAGACGCTGCTTGGCCTTTCGCCTAATGGGGGCTCGACCTTCTCGGGCCTTTTCCCTCCGCATTCGGGCAACGAAGATTCCTCATAGTCGGGGTCGACAATTTCACAAAATGGATCGAGACCGAGCCGCTGGCATCCATCACAGAAAGACAAGTAGAGGGATTCGTTTGGAAGAACATCATTGACCGGTTTGGGATCCCGTGGGCTATCATCACTGACAATGGAGCCCAATTCAACAATGCAAAATTGGAAGCCTATTGTCGGTCCTACGAGATACAATTAAAGTTTAGCTCGGTCGCACACCCCCAGACCAACGACCATGCCGAAGCTGCCAATGGGGCCATCTTGGAGGGCTTGAAGAAAAGGGTGATTAGGGCTCGCGATGCTTGGGTCGACAAGCTCCCGAGTATTCTATGGGCGTCCCAGACCACCCTAAAAACCGCCTCAAGCGAATCCCCATTTTAGTTTGGCATATGGGACCGAGGTAGTCCTTCCACCCGAGATGGTGTTCTCAACCCTGTTCACTGAGAATTTCAATGAGGGCACCTTGGAGGAAGGCCTTTGAGCAAACCTCGACTTGCTCGAAGAAAGAAAAGCTGAGGCGCACCTCTGCAACTTGGCATACATGAGGCCTGTGGCCTGACTCTACAACTGTAGAGTCCGCCCGCACCAAATCAAGACCAGAGACCTCATCTTGCTGAAGGTCGAGGTAAGCAACCCGACCCGAGCTGGAGGAAAACTAGCCCCAAACTAGGAAGGACCTTATCGGGTTTACGATGTGGTCCGAGAGGGAACTTACCGCCTCAAAACCACAAAGGGAAGCCCCCTACCGAGGATGTGAAACGCTTCGAATCTCAAGAAGTTTTACCCTTAGATACGACAGGAGCACGTCAAAACATAAGGCATGTTTTCCATTAGACAAAAGGTATGTACATTATGTTTGGTCAGGGCATTACAATTCAAAACCCAACTCGACCGAAAAAAAAAAAAAAAAAAAACTACACTACCTCTCAACTCGGGGGGACCTCAGGGTTGTCATCAAAAGGGACCTCAACTGGCATCCCGACACTCTAGTCCTTAGGAAGATCAATGAAGGGGTCCGACTCCACCTCTATATCCGGGTACTTCACCCTGAAGCGAGCAAGGGTGATTCGATACACGAACTCATATGTTACTTGTCCCGACCTCTGCAGATCGAGCTCAAATCCGGGGGACTTCTTGTATTCGGCAATCGCCTCCTCTCTTTCAAGTGCCCCTCGGCGTTCCTCGTTCAAAGCCTCTTCCACGGCCCGGTAGGTAGACCGCGCAGCCTCGATGTTCCGAGAAAGAATTAGCAGCTCATTATCCAGTGCTCGAACTCGACTCTCCTTCAGCTGACATCGAGAGTCATCCAACTCGGCCTTCAGCCGTTCGACTTCGACTTCTAGATCCACGATGTGCTATTCGACTGCCGCTGGGCTAGGCCCGCTTTTCAGCTCCTCGACTTCCCGACGAAGGCCTGAGTTCATCTAGCCCAAGCGCTCGATCACCCTACTAGCTTCGTAGACATGATCGATCAGGGCCATGGTGTAATGTTGGCTCTACATAAGGGTTGATGTCAGCATTGGTATTTGGATGGACAATAAAGGGGAGAAACACCGAACTTACCCAAACGAGGGACGTGGCCACCCGATCCATCAGTACCATGAAGGGCGAATAGTATAACTGCTTTGCTAATGTCAGATGGAGTACCCCTCGCGAAAACTCCTGGGCCACCAATCCATCAAACCAGATCCTACTCTTAGCCTTCGCCTGTCGTAGGGGCCCCCCAGCTCCTCCTTCACAAGGTCAGTCATACTGAGGGCTTGGAAGGGCTCACCCTCAAAGCGGGCCCAGATGTGACACAAGTCCCGCATCGACTTTGGGCGCACTGTCGACTTTCCCGAAGGATCGTCACTAGAGGACCTGACGCACCCCTTCTCCGTGCGCACGTCGAACCCTCACCTTGGGAGATGCCGCCCGACTCGTGCATTCCCCGAGCCGCCGTTTCGCGGGTCGCCATGCCCTCGGATACCTTTCGGGTTCCAACCTTGGCCCTCTTCTTCGGCCGACTTGCCTCTAGCTCACTGGGCGACCTCGACTCGTGCATCGACGTGAATCTTCGAAGGGACTCCAGAACCAGACCCCTTATGCTCCCGAGACGGCTATGCCACGGTCGAAGGGCGAGGCATCCCCTTCAAAGACTTGAGGTTCACCATTTCTGCGAATGAAGGATCGGTTAGTAAAACACACCAAGAAGGAAGGAAACGCTCGAGGCACAAATCTATTCGTACTCCTAGGGGTTGGGCTTAATCCCGCTTCGACCAGCCACTCCTTGGTCATTCCCCTAATTGCTCGAGAGGAAGACAAAATCTTCCTTAACCGCTCCACGCGCTTGGTCTCCTCATGGGAAAGAAACGGGGGAACGTTGTTGATGGCTTAGGAGGTCCATTCGACACAAAACCCCCATCCCCGACTACAGCTCACAAAAAGGTGACTGGCTTTCCACCCCTTGTTGTTGGAGGGTGCATCGCTAATCTTAAAGCCACCTTAGGCGGTCAAGTAATACCCACCTCACCCCTTGCACAAATGAAAACATGCTAAGAAAAGTGTTCAGGTCGGCTCGATCCCCGCCCCCCAACACTCCCCGAGGAAAGCCACCAGGTAGCGCCAAGAGTTAGGTGCCATCTGGGATGGCGAAATCCCGCACCAGCAGAGGCACTTTTCGATAACCGGATGCTAGGGGAACCGCAGCCCCACCTCAAGAGCATCCGTGATCAGCCCGAACCCATTGGGAAACGAGTCATAAGGGTGCTAACCGGGACATGGAGCATGAAGCCCATAGTTCTTCTGGATACTATAGCGATCCCGAATTGGACCTAAGAGCTCCTTAGTCACCATCGAGTTAACATCGTGCCATGATCTCATCACTTGAAAGGCTGCGAAGGCCTTTGAGTCCGTCGGGGGCATGCCACCCGAAGAAGAACTAACCACCTCTATCCTAGAACTGCCGGAACCTGATTCATTGACCTTGGGAGCCGACCGACTCGAAGAGGAGGAGGAAGATGAGGAAGACAAAGACATCTCAACTGAGGCAAGGAGCAACGATCTGAGGCGTGTGCAAGAGAACGAAGACTGAACGATGCCACCGCACTACATAGGAAGGGGTATATAAAGAGGAAGTCTGTCGCCATAAGGTGACCCTTGGGCTCCCCGAGGTGAGAAACAATGTTAGCATTAAATCTGGCGTAACTCCCTAGATCCCCTAGATTCGCCAGCCCGTAAGTTCTTGCCAAAAACCCACACGTTGTCTTGAGTTTCTCGTCGAAACCCACATGCCGTCAGAAATTTCCTGCCAAAACATATGACATAATGCATCACAAACAACTTCCCTCGAAGCTTTGATCTTCTCCCAAGGTTGCAAGGGATCGCTTGGCCAACAAGATTAGTCTTTGCTCGAGTCATATAGCTTGGCCAGTCCAACCAGTCCAGCCTATACCCGAGTTGAGTGGCTCGGCCAACAGGATCAGTCTTTGCCCGAGTCGTACAGCTTGACCAGTTGTCACACGAGCAATTCCTCGTCCAACCAGTCCAGCATATGCCTAAGTTGAGTGGCTCAACCAATAGGATCAGTCTTTGCCCGAGTCATACAGCTCAGCCAGTCCAACTAGTCCAACCTATGCCTGAGTTGAGTGGCTCGGCCAACAGGATCAGTCTTTGCCTGAGTCATATAGCTCGGCTAGTCTAACAAGTCCAGCCTATGACCGAGTTGAGTGGCTCGGCCAATAGGATCAATCTTTGCCCGAGTTGAACAACTCGACCAGTTGTCACATGAGCAACGCCTCGTCCAACCAGTCCATTCTATGCCCAAGTCGAGTGGCTCGACCAATAGGATCAGTCTTTGCCCGAGTTACGCAACTCGGCCAGTTGACACATGACCATCGCTTTGATGACCCAACCGTGTCCTCAGCCCCTCATGAGGATCCCGGAGCATGCCTCGTGAGGGGGGGAGAAGTGATAGGGCATATTATGGATTTTGCCACGTGGACACGACCCCCAACCACACCAGCACAAGCGTAGAACCTCGGGAGGAAGACATGGCGCCATGTCGGATGTGCCACCAAGAATTCGGGACGATAGTCGCTCCCCACCCGCGTCGTCTAGGGTTGCATGAACCAGCACCGCCCCAACAAGGACCACATCGGGAAGCTCGAGAACGACGCCATATGGCGCCGTTCCACACATGCCGGGTGGCGGTCATCCGAAGGTACGAACTCGTTGCTCAGGGAGTCGACCGCCGTGCGAAGGCCGCGTACGACCTACTCACATGCACCTGAATAAAAGCCCCCTGCCAACATCTGACAAAAGGCAGAGGATCTTTAATAATGAATTCCACTAACTTAATCTTTGGAGGGGCCTAAGTCGGGATTCCCCTCCCCATTTTGACCTAGGCTGGTGTGTAGGAGTCTGACGGTGACAAAGGCGGACGAGCTCACTGAAGAGGCGCATCCCAACCGACCTCGAGCTCAACCCGACCGGGCAAAGATCTCATCCCTGGGACGATCCTGGACATCGCCAATCGGACCAAGCTGTATAGACTCCTCACATAAGGTTCACCAACAAGAGTGACAAACATGACCTGGTAGCAGTTAGCTTGAATTTATTGGATAAATGGTAACAAAAGTCTTGGAAAACTCTTCTTTTTAGAGTGCACCTGCTTGAATAAAAATTTAGACCCCGTTAGATAAAATAGCTCTCATGTTTGAAACGGATTGGATTTAGGCAGCAACAACAGGAGGCGGTAGAACACAAAAAATGACTATAACTCGATTGATTTCTATAGTACTCCAGATGGACGGATAAGTTCATTACAAGAACACCACGGAAATGAATCAATCAGTTATGCTTTTTCCCGCCGGCCAGGATGCGCGATATCTGCAGCCCTCGGCTGAAGGCCTGGTTGAAGAGCAGCCTGGTTTGGAACTCGGACACGAAGGGGAACCAGGCGAGGACGGCCACCGGCGCAAAGATCACTACTCCCATCACGTACTCGTACCCCCGAGCCAAGGCCTTGACGGAGCCCCACAGCCCCAGCCCCTTCATCACCGGCCGCAGCGCCTGCGATATCTGCACCAACCACACCACCGGCGTCGTCAGGTGGAAGGGTAACTCTTTGCAGGGAGAAGAGAAGATGCTTTGTTATCGTTACCTGAAGCAGTGCCCATCCGGTGGGCAGGAAGGCGAAGAGGCTGTCGAAGATGTCTCCCACGGTGAGGTTGAGGAGGGTGAAGAGGATGCCCAGGATTCCGATGAAGCCGATGAAGAGGAAAAGCTTGAGAAGCCGGAACATGAGCTGGAAGTCGGCGCTGAACTTTTTCCTGCCCATCGACACCACCTGCATGCAGCGGTTCTCCTTCAGCCAAAGCAAACATAGGGAAAGGGGAGTGAAAGGAGGATTCCTCTAACCTTGAGAATCAGCATCACTGCCACGATCACCAGCCATGACAGCCCGTACACCTGATCGATGCAACAACATTAGCACAGGGCAAAGGGGATGAAGAAGTAGGCATGCAGTAAGCGGCTTAAAGGTGTTGGGAATGGACGCTCACGATGATGCTCTTGTTGCCATTGGCAACGTTGAGGTGGTACACGATCCCATACTGGAAGAGGAAGAAGCGCAGAGAGAGGACGATCTCCCAGAAGCGGCCGAGGAACCCGGTGGACTGCAAGTGCTCCTGCTCTTCGTCCCACCACGACTCCCAGCTCTTGTTCGCCGGCACCCCGATTCCTCCCCAGCTGTTTATCCACTTGGTCCAGTCGTCCCAATCGTCCACTATCTTCTGCCACTCGAAGCCGGAGGGGTTGAAGAGGAACGGCGCGAACAACCAGGTGGTCACCAGGAACCACATGGACGAGGTGAGAAGCAGGAAAGCAAACGAGTCGGAGGTGACAGCTCCGTTGATCTGATACACTATGAGAAGCACCATCAGCTCCAACCCCTTCACGAAGTGGCTCCGGGAGTACATCCTGTAGTTCTCGGCGAACTTCACATGGCGCACCACGAAGCCTCTTCCGGTTGCTCTGTACTTTGCGCCGCCGTGCAGGACGGTGCGGCCGAAGTAGTGCGACTTGGTTCCGAGGGAGAACGTGAAGAAGACGGAACAAAGCTGAAGCTGCATGATGATGAAGTCGCTCACTGCGGTTCGGAATCCTCTCTCGAGTCCGATCTCCATGACCATTGGCATGGCCATCAGTAAACCTAACTGGACCACCGACTGAGATGCCATTGCTGACTCCAGAGCTGTGTTCCCTCTCTTCCTTGCCTGCGTCATGATTGCACTCTCCAGCCCACTTAGTGACAAGTAGAGTCTTCCGTATAAGTAGGCATAGACTATGATTACAACCATCTGCAATGTTGTCCAAAGCATGATGAGCAACAGATCCTCACAACAACACATGTAGCAAAGAAACAGAGGTTACCATTGAGCTGACGTAAAAGCCCACGGTGGTGAAGTAGGATGATAGCATGCGGAAGAAGTCAAAACGATGACCCAAGCGGTAGATGTCTCTGCTGAGTATTTGCTCACCGTTGCCACAAGCAACTTTTGCTTCGAAGAGTGAGATTTGGTTGAGTCCAACATCACGACCTTTTCCAACCTGGATGTACTCGTGATGTGTGATGTTTCCACGTCTCAGTGTCGAGTTGAAGCCTGAAAGAGAAAAAGGTTGGAATGAACAGATACATTTATTAGTTGGAGCTAAATAGAATCGATTTGAGAGGAAGACTCACCAGCAAATATATCCTCGCTGAGGTTGATCCCGCGAGATGCCTTGCTAATGCCACCTCTGGTGATGTGAAAAATTCTATCGAACACATCTGGGTGACCATAATGAAATCGGACTCTGACCAAATAGTTTAGTCAAAGATGAAAATTAGTGTTTGTGATCGAAATCTTTTTGAGTCTTAACAAGAACGGAAATAGATAGGAAACTCACTTTAATGGACTTGCGAGGACTCTTTGTCCAATCGTTACAAAACTGGTTTCTTGGTTTGACATAAACCACGCCAAAGAGGACACACTACAAAATAATTTGTATCAATTCATAAGTCAATATATCCATGCAATCGGACAAATAGAGATAATGTTCCTTTATCACTAGCATAGTTGGTTTTACCTTCCTGTGAAAATATGCTCACGTACTCCAAGAATGGTAGGTTGACGTAGTCCATGGTCTTCATTGAATTCTTCAAGAAGGTTGCGCATTTTAAGTGCCTCTTCCAAATAGTTATCCTATAGAAAGTCATAAATTATAAGAACCTGATAAGCTAAAGCGAGAAGAACCAGCAGTGATTTCAGGACTTGTGTATTTATTACTTGATTCATATCGATAGTCTGAAGAGCTTCGCCACGGGTGAAGATTATTGCATGATTTTGGTTTTCCGGTTTTCCTTCACCTACTTTTGCTGATCCTGGTAATTTAATACGGTATATTTCCTTCAAAAAGAAAAAGATAAACATGTTGGTGTTTCACAATCTTGATCTTCAAGTAGATCAATTCCACCTGAAATCAACAAAAGTTTAGATTTACCTGGTCACGGTTGTCCACAGCTTTTACTAGCACAGAGTAGTAGACTTTCTGAACCTTGTCGCCATCTCTCTCTTCCACTTCATCAATGTATGCAACACGAAGAGAAGGGTAGCTGCAATTTTGAATAGTTAATGACCCTTAGGGCAACATATACTTTTCATATGGAAGCAGCATCTCTGTTCGAACTGCATCAAGTTTCATACTTCAGGATGCCATGTAAGGTTTCAACAAAACAAGTTTGAATGCCCTAACTATGTAAAACCACTGTTGTTTCTGATTCCATTAAAATTTCAGTTTAGCAGGACTCTGTATTTAACTATGAAGCATGGATTTAATAGATGTGAAAAATAATGAAACCAAAGAGATTTTATCTCTTAACCTCTGTTCCAGAGTTATCATATTCATAGTACAAATCTAGATGGAGCATCAATAGCTAGTAATAAACTTTTGGGAAAGGTATCAGCTTCCTGAATTAAAGTCCATTGAGATCATTCATGTAAATTATGCATTTCAAATCATTTAGGAATTCTTTGCTTATTTGAATTATATTTAAAATAACTTTATGTACATTTCTTCGAGTTGCTTCACGATAAAGCAGAATCATGACCAGGAAAACTAAAAACTTGAACAGGACTGCATAAATTGGATACCAGAATATTGCTGGAAATAAAATCACATAAGATGCATTTATGTTGCAGTTCTTGATGGGGAAATTAAATCTTCTACTTTCAAAATCATAGTAACGATGAAAATTTAAATGACAAAGACCATGTCATTCTTCAGCTATCAAAGTAATGACCTTCATATTGGATTCTCCAGGCCCATACTAATTGGATATTCGAAATTGATGGACTTTGTTGACAAAGTATGTTGATTTTGTTAATGAAAGTATGGCTATGAAGTAGGAGAAAGAAATTTCAATGACAATATCATATCAACTCTAATAGGAGAGACAAAGAAACAAAATCAAAAGGGACATACTTAACCATCAAGTTCAAAATGTCTGTTGCACGTCGATCTCCGGACAGTTTCTGATTTCCATAGATTTGGCAAGTAGCAACATATGTGAATTTCATGTCTGCTATAGCCTCCAGCTGAGCAGATAATGATCTTTGGCTTTTCTTTTCTTCCTCTGCTGAATCAGTAACTATTTTATATCCTTCTAATATCTCTGCAGGTACATGTGATGATGAGAACTTTGAGAAAAACTTAAGAATATATAGTACACCAAGGACCAATGATCATCAGTTACAAGTGGGAAAATGAAATTTACTCACCACTTTCCTGAGCCATATCAAGAAAAGCTTGAAGCTTCAAGGCTCTCCGATAGTACATCATACCCCTAACTGCATCACATGTGTCATACCAACAGCTGAAGAAAGTGCTACTTAATAATTAAAACTTGAAATATAATAAAAATAGTTACCAGTTCTACAAAGTGTTTGTCCCCTAAGAGAGGCCCAATGACGAAGTTGTAGAACATTCTCCTCATTGGACCAAACTTCACTTTCTCTTTTGCAATTGATTCGCTCCATAAAGTTGTTCCATTCATCTATTAAAAATCATCAATTGCATTGATCCAATGAGGCCGAGGAATCATTCACTAGCTATAGAACTAAACATGTTACACTGCATTATATTCTGAAAAGTAGCAAAGATTATAACCTGGGTAGATCTTTTGCAGGTAAAATATGATAGAGACACCGTCTTCATTCTCCAAATCAAGATCATTTTTGGAAAATACTGTCTCTTCACTGTAGTAAGGGGTCATTACACTGCCAACCAATATATATATTTCATGACCGTGGTCCAATATTTTGGAGAATTCGCAAATTTGTACACAAAAGTATGATGATTTCAACATGGGGAAAATATCATTACTACATAATATTACTGTTAAAAGAACTGAAAAGACTTCCAACTATATACTTCAGACTAGTTGGTTGTTCACCACTTGCCCGAAAACTACTGCAACTGGCTGAGGTCATTATAAAATTTCCATGTTTGCTAAATTATTTTTATCAGTCACTGCTTCACCATCTTTTAAGTTTAGTGTGCCACAAAATAGTAAATATTTTCTTAATTGTTCTTGATTTGGTGTGTATAACAAGCATCACATAGCAGTTCATTTGCATTTACTGAAGTGCACCTGCATCACTCTAAAACATTGTTGAGAACCTGCAGAAATTTCAGTTGAAAGCATGCTCTTTTAGATGGAAAATAGAAAAATCACAAATTTTCAAAAGTAACCTGTGAAACTTTAAATACAAAGAGTTAGTTCTGCTATAGATAGTTGATGATCAAATAAGAGAATGTGCCATATCTGTTGTTAGATTGGCTTTCATATGAACAATAGATCCACAGATCCTATCTGATGAATTGCCAAGATGCAAGTTTCATGTAACAGTTTACTTTTGCAAATTTTGAATTTCAGTGAACATGAGAATCTTGAATTCCTATGTAGCTGTTAACAAAGGCAAACTAAAATTCAAATGACTTTTGTATTGATCTACAATCAGTAAATAGTCCAAATGACGTTTGATTCCTTATATTGTTGGAAGGTAGCAGGTAAATTTTCTATTTTTCTCCATTCTTGGAAAAAGACAGCAGCTGTTCTTGATATTATTATATCCAGAATATCAAATAAAAAAAGCAAAAATGAAAAGTACAATTGCTAGTTCTAGTGGTTACACCAAACCTGAATGAGAGCATTTTGTGGACTTTAGGTGCACGTGGCATTTCCATAAATAATGAATTTGTAAAAAAGGCTATCCTTCTACGAGCTTCAAGGTTTGTAGGCACATCTACTGCAGATTCTTTTACTGTCAATAGGAGGTACAACCGTTTAATCTGCAACATGGTATATTGTGAGTAGCTTGTCTTCAACTAAAATAGTTTCAACTGAAGAAAGGAGAACATTCTCTATATTGATATCCACCTGTTCTTCCCAGTATGCTGTAATTATAGGAGGAAATACTATTGCAGGTTTTGAACCTGTGCCAGCAAAAAGTTGTCTTCGAGGTATTGAATCTTTATTACTGTGGCCAAGCTCAACCAACTCACTGAAAGCAATATTCAATGTCGTAAGTTTATCAGTAATCTCAGGACTTAATTTCTCGAAAAAATGTTGACTACATAATCCATTCAGGAATTTTTCACCAACCGATTCTCATGAACCATCATATCACGGGTGACCACTTCTAGCATGTCTTGGAGCAATAACACGAGTGTGTCACGCTTAGATGCATCACCCTCTTTCTGCAATATAGAAAGGAAAATTTTTAACAACCTTCTATGAAACTAAGAACAATTTGGAAGCATGCAGAGATTTCAATTTGCATATTTTACTTAATAAAGTAACTTACCAAGATACCTAGAAGCTCCACAAACTTCTTACATAGTGTTGGTAGGGCACTCATTCTGAAGTTGCTGAGAAAAGCATTCTTTCCAATGCTAGCTTCAATTTCTTTAATAATTACGCCGATGATCCTGTTACAGAATAAGCAAGGTAATTTGAAAAGATCATGCACCAAAGGGAGATCATTTTTACAAGAAGACATGTCTAGGCATTAATCGTTGTTTCATCCAAGACATCCTTTGTTCAAACAAGAGTGATGCAATAGGGGAGCCTTTATATAAAAATTAAGTCAAAATGGACAAGTTCAAGCATATGTTTTGAATTCATCAGTAATTGAATCTCTGCCTCAGAAAATACTCTATGGCATACAATTAGACCAGCCATAAGCTTTCATGTATTTATGAATATCTCCAAGTGTACAGCCTTCAACTCTCCTATAATATTCTGAAATGAAATATTTTAGATCATCTTATCAATCTGATAATGGACCTTGACAAAAGTTCTGATTTGGTCCTCTTAGCTCAATAAAAAAATTGTTGCACATTAGGTCTACAAAATGCCGAAGAATGCCATTGATCCTGTTGTTGTTGCACTCAACAAGGCATGTTCATGGCCGTAAAGGTTATGTGAATTAACTAATAAACCCAAAAGCTGCAACTTTCTTCGTTTAATATACTGACTCTGGTATATGGCAGCTATATGCTGATGAACAATAACAAAAAATATGTGACTTCTTGAGTTGTACAATGTGCAATAGCATAAAAAGTAATCTATCCCCTTCTATATACAACACCTATATTTGATATTTTTTCATCATTCTGAAATATAAAGGAAATATTAGTGAAAGCTAAAGATTCCTAGCAAGCAGTGACTATATGTAGACTATAATACAAACATGACACATAATTAAATTAAAAAAAATCCAATTTAACGAAGAAAAAAAGGTTTGCAACAGACCTTTTCTCATTTTCACCAACTACAAGAAGGTTAAGAACAAGTTTAAAGGACTCGTAGCATTCAATAACGGCACATTTCATATATTCATCCGCACAGATGCGTTTCCACAGATCAGAATCCTTTGATTGAAATTGAGCAGCCATATCCAATGCTACTGGTATCTGTCTCATAAGTTGATGAATTGAAAAATAGGAAACATCAAAGTAACAAGAACTCAAGAAGCATCAAATGAGTGTTTAGTGGAGACCTTGCTTGCGAGCAGGAATGGTGGCCATTGTATTATCTTCAGGCTAGGATCTGATGAGTAAGGAACTAGCAAAAGATCCATCTCTCTGAATCACAGAAAAGAATAAGTCTGAGTATTCCAGGATACTAATTATCATGTATCAAGCGAAAGCCAGTCAGTTTAAGGCCTTTCCTGTCACTTATAAGGTCTTCTTCTCGGAAGCTACAAATTACTTCATTCCATAGCTGGGAAAACTTTGCTGCCTCAGTTCTCTTGCTTGGAGAGACCTGAATTCCTCAAGGTGTTAGATACGAGACCAAAACTGTCAATGTTCTTGTGAAATTGTACTTTATAGTTGCAGGGTACCTCTGCGAAGTGCTTTGAGAAAGAGAATCCCCTGTTTCGAGCTTTCTCAGATGGTACAAGGTATGTGTTGAAAGCTCCAGGCAAAGAGTGGAACCTTGATCTCAGCATACCCAGTGTCCGTATCTATAAAAATCACAGATCCAGAACTTAGATATCAGAAAAGTGTTGACTTCAGATATTAGACATAAGTTAATCATCATAAGATATCAGACCACATCTACATACATAATAAAAGATCCAGAGCTAGAAAAGACTGCAACTTATTTTATTATTAAGGATCACAATACACAATTAGGATAACATTATGGAAGCCAGATAAGTATTCAGTTTTTTAAACAGATTATGATGCTCAATTGTTTCTCTAAAACATGAAACATGGTTCTGCCATTATGCCTACTCAGCCATGGACCCAGCAAATAGAATGTGTGCAGTCCTGGTCAATAGGCAGAGGGAGGAAAGAAGAAAGAGAGATTATTTATATTTGTTTGTTCAGTAAAGATCCTGTGTAATTTATAAAATGCTTATAGATCGTGACGTTGATAATAACAGAGAAAAAGCAAACTGATGGATAGTGAAACACTAAGAGTACCCTTATTTTTCTGGTGATAATTAAATTTCCAGTGAGAATTATGACATCAAAATAAATTCAGTCTTTACATGATATAAATTCCAAGAAATATGCAAGATTTCGCTAGTAATCAGATTGAAACCTTTGGAGAAAAATGTTTGATTATGTAGTGAAATTTTTTATTATTTTTGCTGAACTGTAAATGTTTCACCGATGATGCTGGACCACATGCTAAATATAAAACTTGTATTGTGACAAGATGTTTGGCTGTGGAACCCGTGGAACATAAATAGCGTAAATAAGGGTAACTTGCCACAGAAGCTGAGATGCAGATCATTCTGGAATATAAACAGGAAGTTGTGGTATAAGATCTTGAATTTTTTCTAAATACAAATGATGGAATTTGATATATAAATTGTGGTATATGATTGATTAACTAACTGATTAATGACTGTTCTAATTAGGAAAGTAGATGCCAACAATGAAACTCAATTTCCCAATGCCTTAGTCATAGTGGTGAGTTGTGCAGTAACCTAAACTGAATAATCATGTACTTATAAGGACTTCTGATCTTGTAGATGTCACATGTCCTATAGGATGGTAAAACACAGAGTTGTGGAATAACATTCCAGTGGAGAATAACCTGTTGGTAGACACGGAACAGAAAATTAGGGTGCAGTTATAAAGAAGTTTGATAGCTTCAATATAAAATCTTTAATTGAAGAAAAGGATTAAGTTTATTTCCTTCTTATCAATAAAATTTTTAGCCAAACTACAATGATATCTGAGAAATAAAGAATTTTAAAGGAAAATGAACATGAAACAAACATTTGCGAAGAATAACAAGGGCCAAATAATTGTTCTTTGAGGCTTGCCATTTAGGTAAGAAAAACAGTGGCAAAATAACATAGACATCAATCAGCCAGACATACAAACTTGAAATAAAAGAAAATGAAAGTTTGGGCCAAATAATCGTTCTTTGGGCCTTGCCGGTTAGCTAAGAAAAACGGTGGCAAAATAACATAGACATCAATCAGGTAGGACATACAAACTTGAAATAAAAGAAAATGAAAGTTTTCTGATGAATAAAGAAATCATAAAAAAATCTAAATGTCAAATTAAAATGGTGAAAAACACGAATGAAACAAGAAGTAGAAGTGCAAACTACCTATTAGAGAGAAAGCCTGGATTTAGCTTGCCAAAAGCATCCTTTTTCTTGCTCACTTAAAAAATGAATTTGTAGCATTGGTTGATAAGATTAAAGGACCAAATGCTATTTTAATAAAGTATCTTTAATTAGTTTGATTGTTTGATAAACAGAATCTAAAAAGAACCAACAAAAATGTATATACATCATGGTTCTTACTTCTCCAAGTCGACCGAATGCTCCAGAAACACCTCCATATAAGGTAGAGAAAATTGCATACCATATTTGAGTGTCCATAAAGTATACCTGTGAAATATTTGTGCATGTCATATATGATATCATGCTGAGTTTAAACATAAAGACTTGTGAAATATGAAAATGAGACACAACGATCACGATGTATCATAGCTCAAAAAAGAGAGAACAATATCTAGACATACCAAAATCACAGGAGCCCATAGTGAGAGAACAGCACCATAATTACCAGAAGCTGCATGAAGCAGAAGCTCAACAGCTTGAACAAATTTAATTGAATGATTCTAAGCAAACTGGAATAGGATGAGCATAATTACCATTAGGGAAAAATTCATGCCAGGCATAATGAATGTTGTGAACATTCATTATATCTTTTGTGGGCTTCATAAGAAGTTTTATCTGCCAGACAGTAAAACATGTTAGGTGTAAAGAATACCCCAAAAGCATATCTTGCTTTATACAATGATCTGTAAGAAGACATACACACGGGAGACACTACCTGCATGTAATAACTGAAGGCAAACTTGGAAGACAACAGCAACAACCAAAACAATGTATACCTTACAAGAAACAATAGACGCAATTAGCAGTTTCAAACAAAAAGCAAAGTGTCCATATGTCAATATACAATGATTTTTCCCAACAAACTTACTTGAAAAGCGTAAACTGACTTTCATGCATGCCACGTCCAACATATATTCTTGGCTGAGAAATAAAGTGACGGCTTTAGTTGATGAGCAAGCACAACATAAAAAGAATGGCATAGTCCTTGTATTTAATTTTATTGAAAGTATTCCACATCAGAGGTCACAACAGTAGAACACCATAACAAGGAGAATTGGCATGACAGGACCTTCACTACTATCATGTATAGAATGATATAAATAGAATCAAAGTATAGCAAAAAAATTTTGAATTGTAGGAGACATCCTAGGGGTTACAGTCATGAGGTTAGGAGTTCAATTTTTTTTATAAGCATCCAGTATGTAGGTTATGTAATATTTGCACGGAAGGAGTATAATTGAAAAAATAGCAATTCCAATTAAATAAACTTTAATTCTTCAGGTCTTGAGGCCCCAAGAACTGTTAACACACCCAACAAATGAATGTGCACATACCATGGCAAGAGGGTATTACACAGTCTTCCATGTCATGCCACAGGAACTGAAACATTCTATGAGGCATAGGGGTTTGGCAAGAATATTTACTGGAGTCTTGTCTTGAAACTTAGGAAGCTTCTATTGATTGCAGAGAAAGAAATAAAACCATCAGAAGATAGACATAGTATAAACTCTGACAGTAGTTTTTTTTAACTAAACTCTGACACTAGTCAAGATGCTATCTGTGCATAGATAAGACTGACTGGAAGGTAGCCCTGAATGAGCAGATTAGATAGGTGATATGAAGAATGCAGTTTAACAAAAATAGAATAATAGAATGAGAGCACAAGACAGATGGATCAATGGGTAATCCATAATTGTTTTTTTTCATATTCCTCAAGTGTTGTTGTTTTACACCATACACTAGTTTAGATGAAAACCCTTGTAAGGAAGAAATAGCATGACACTTTCTTCTACTAGACTTTGTGAATATCTATGTTATTGCTCATAAAAAGCACCTGCCTACCTGTGAATTGTATGATGCTGAAACTTCATTTGTGGCAATGATGGCTTTACAAATGGCTTCAGAGAAGTAGAATATCCCAACAATTTGTAACTATGTAACACATTTGTTCTTGTTTGTTGAGTAAATTATTAATGAAGATAAAAAAAAGAAAAAGAACAGAATGATAATTGTTATGTCAATGAGTTTGGTGCTAATTCTAAGTAAATCAAGCTCAACTTCTGTCACTTAAAACAGAGAGGAAAAAATAAGAAAATGAAACTAGAAGTAAACGATATGCACCTGAGACCACCACAAGAGAAGCTGAACAATATGCCAATCTGAATTCTCTATCCATCTTCGGAGCATAGGAAATAAGAATAGGATGCCTGCTAGTATATTGGGAAATAGGTACAGTACCACAACCATGATATATAAAGGTGGTACACCATTTAATTGATGAAGCCACTTGGACAGTTCATTCCAGGGTAAATTTATGCTTGGCGAATCAATATAAACTAGAGGAAGAATTATGGCCCATACAAGACTAACTAATATCTTGAGGAAATTTCTTAAGACATCAATGAATTTCCATCTGTGAAAGCCAGGGAAATTTAGAACAACATCAAGAACACCTGTAATGTCAAAAAGAATAGTAATGTCAGCCGAATAATTGAAAAGAAACTACCAAGGCTGTCTTCGTGATTGATAAGCACGTTAGATAACTGAAAATTTAGCAAAAATTGCAAGTTCAAGAAAGTTTTGTGCCATTTATATTTCTATTCAGAAACATTTGACAAAGAATACAGAAAGATTGAGTACAAGAAGATTAAAAAAACAGTTTTAGATAACTTTTCTGACTAAGATGAGATAGAAAAACTTTAATATTACAGGAGACTGTTGTTTAAACTTTAAGCCTCACTTCTTTTTGCAGACAATGCACATAATACTTGAGTATTCTCATACAAGTTGATCAGGTAAAAATCTAACGGCATCCTAATGTTCTCTAGCAATCCTAGTGAATGTAAGACGTTGCTAAGCACCCAGTTTTTATATTTGGTCTCATTTTGATTAAATGAATATGCTAGAGTTATTACATGCATGGATTTGGTAACAAACCACTTTTAGGCAATATCCCCATGATGTAAACAACTCATATTAATTATGAAAAGATATATAATGACAGCAGAAGCCTCCTCAGCACAACACTATTTCCAAATGATCAGAATCCATAACTGCTGTCTTTCTAATCAATATCTTCTAAAGCAAATTTGAAATTAGAAAGATGCAAAATGTGACTCAAAACTCTGAAACAGTTCTGATCTCCATGGTCAGTCATTTTAATAAAGACATCATGGTGCAGATTATGCAATTTTGTCATTTACTATTCCCTAACACTATGACACATTCAGATCTAAAAGTACCATCAACATGCAAATTGGATTAATTGCAGAACAGAGTTTAAAGCTTTTTAAGCACAAGAACAACTATGTAACTACAGTATGACAAATTTTCAGCTCATACTTTGGAGGAAGCGTAGTAATGCTGCTGTGATGAAAATGCTAGAAATTGAGTATAATATATCTTTCTGAAATATCTCTGTCAGTGAGTGCTCACTCCAGGCCACTATTATCATTGCCTGAAAGTTCCAAAAATTATTATTACCAGAGATGTAAATGAGGTGTACACACACACACACACAACCTTAGTAGTACCTGAAGTGCAAGTATATAGAAGGTCCACATGCGATCAAAACTTCGAAAAATGTGCCAAAATGTTCTTGTCTCAACAAAATTTGATTTCCCTATGCTTCTATTAGAAACCTTCAGAGATGAATGCCCTGCCTGTAAATAGATCTTTGCATGATAACATTGTCCTGACAAATTGATTTTATGGTTTTGAACATGAGATGGTCAACAACATACCTGAACAATGGGCCTTGATTCCCGTATAGATTTGAAGAAATTCCCATCATCCTTCATAGGCCACCCCAAGGAAAAGCAATCAGCAGACCTAATGGTTATGTAATCAACCTTAGAAACAAAAGCAAATCGAAAATATAAAAACTATTCTGGTGACATATTCATATAATCAATCCCCTCACAGACCAGAAGTATTCATTTAGATCATCATAATTACACCAAGCTGAATGTGGAGCTTTTCCGTTATTGCTCATTTTAGCTTCCTGACAGATAGTATCATCATTTAGTTATGTAACCGTGTAAAATTTATTATTTGTTTGAATTTATCAAAGAAGCATACCTTTTCAATCACACGATAAATTGGACTAATTACTTTCTTCAGGAATGCTTCATCATCTCCACCATATGAAGGCCTGATGTTCTCCCCTGTCACAACACTGACATTCCCAGCCAATAGGCCATGTAGCTCATATGCCATCTGGCAATCATCAGGATTTACTTAAGTGAAAAAATTTCTGAGAAATAACAAGAGAATGCCAATCGAAGGCAAAATTAAAGCATCTTTAGAATGAAGGTCTTACATTATGGAATATATAGGACAAGCATTCTGGCATAAAGCGAATATTAGCAGCTTCACCCCAGATAAGAAGAAATAAGCCCATGTAAAGGATTTTCCTTTGCTGAATTTCAGGTGGTTGTGCACCTTGTGGAAGCCTAAAATTTAAAACATTTACAATATTAAGTGAGAAATCAAAAGCATAGAAAAATTAAAAAAATGGAATCCAAAGATTTACATAATAATTACCGTAAGCTATGTTTGTGTCCCAAGAATTTACACCATGTTTTGTAGTTCTTGAATATTTTACTCATAACTGCATCAACAGCTCGCTCATCCAGCTGTACCAGGGAACTGATTTAGCTAATTCAAGGATATAATCTATTACAAAATAATTGCAAATGAAGTGAAAGAAGACGAGTTTTGTAACCTGTATAAGTTATGTTGCTTTAATAGATTCTAAAACTAAAGGATGCATGATTAAAAAGACCACGAAAATATCTAACAGTAGAGTGCTAGGGGGCAACAAATATGGAGAATAACTGGCTGGAATCTCAATATAAGAATCCCAGTTCATTTAAGAATGTCTTACTATGTGTCATAACTTTGGTAAAAAAAATAATACAATTTGGACTGAATGGCAGAATACACTGTAAGACATTTTAGTTATTAAAACTAACAAAGTTAGCATGTGGGTTTGTTAACCTAGTAGGCTAGTACTATCAATTAATTATGTATTGACTTTGAAAAATTATACAGTAATCAAGGGTTATGGTCTGGCTGTCAATTAGTAATGTCATGGCAGCATAGTGCCAAAGAACCAGCACAAGTATGTTCTGCATCTTGTCTCAGTATCTAAGAATCAGGATTTCCAAATGCCAATACATGGCACTGCATGGCATGTCTAGTATACACCATGCGATGGTCAGATGAAAATGGCACAGGATACAGCAAATTAATACATTGAATAAATCACTATCTTCATGAATGATGTATGCTCAAAACTAAAAAGTCAAAACCAAATCTGATGTCAATATTCCCAGGGATGCTAACTTTCTAATACGCCAACTATCCTAAAAATGCCAGTAATTTATTAGTACCATGAATCCATTTAACAAAAGATGTTCTTATAGTATAAAATACATGAAGCAGTATCAGAAACCCATGAGAAGTTGAAGAAGCAAAGTCATATACAAGTCACCATAACTTACTAAATTTGGACCTAAACAACAAGGAAGACATTTCCAATCTGTTAAGCTAGACCAAGAAATTATTACAAATGCTCTGGTTTAATCAATCACTTCTAAAGACTATCTTCTCTAAACCTCATTAGAGAAGCTACACAAAGCATGAAAACTAATGGATTTAATCATGCACATCCTTAGTCTCTGCATTTCCTAGACAAATCAAGAAGATATACTACTATTACTAGTACCACTACTGCTACTACTCTCTCTCTCTCTCTCTCTCTATTTTCCCCTCCTAGGCTTACTTCTAATACATGAGACATGTAATTCTCACTTAAAAATGTATCTTATTTCTTTCTCCTATTCTACTACTACAGAGAGAAATTTGTTATCTGCCTATTGATCATGCTCCACCAAGTGCATGTCACTAGCATAATCAGGATACTGATATCACTCAAATAATTTTTGTACTGCCCTCCATTGCTATTCAGAATTTTTTAAACATTGTGCTCTATGATATTTGGTTAGTGCAACTTACCAATTATACTAATGCTTTTTTGGCCCTTGGAAGTGCATGGCTTAAATTTAAATATAAGGATTCCCATTCTTTAAGAGCAGGCACTAAGCATCTTCATTTGCTTACCTTTTAACCGGTGAATGGCCAATGCTTATGGTGATAAGCATTTAGGTTTGAAGTTATTTCTCTTGTATTAGTGTTTTTCTGTTATGATCCACTGGTTATTTGGGCTAGTTTCATGTTGCCTAAGTGTGGCTTCAAAAACTATAGTTGTGTTTAATGGAACTTCAATACCACCACATGTTGGGCTGCAAATGAAGCTGTTTTGTATTCAATAAGATTCACTGGCCTAATTTATAATGCTGAATGCTATCTAGAGAAGCGAACAAAACCAACAAGATATCAAAATACTGTGATCGTCATCCAGATTTTCTCATTCCAAAATCACTGGCGAACATGCCAGATGCATCTTCTATTTTTTTCCAGTCACCATATTCTTTCTCCAAATTGTTAAGAAGATCCAATTTAGTGCAAGTTAGAAGGAAGCATGTACATGCCTTGTGAAGAGGTTCAGGCTTGGGCGACAGCCTTATGTGGACGTTAGCAAGGAGCAAGATCAAATGCTCTCTTTGATTCCTCACACTGTCCCTCTGCAAACAAAGAAGCATTATCAAGTGTAAGTAATACTAGTGTCCTCTGAGAAAATAAAAACAAAGAATGGTTGCTAATGTTTGATAATGTTGTACCTGAAACCCAAACATGATCCTTAACCAATCTAGTAGATCCAAGTCTCCTGTTTTCTGTCTTTGCTGATCAAAAGAAGAAGGCCAGTTCAAGCCTCGTGTATTCCTCAAGGCCATCACAGCTGCTTTAATCTGTGACAAGTTGAAGGTACATTAAAAGTACTAACTTGTTTAAAGCTAGCACAACAGATCTCCTTTTGAGCTGATGTAGTTTCCACGAGCACAACACCCAGGAAGAATCATGTCAGCTAAGTAGATACTTACAAGAGGCAAAATGCCTGTAATACCATACCTCCTCAAATTGCATAATACATAGTGAAGCACCAGCAGCGTCCAGAGGAAGGATGTTATATGGGACATAAATTTCCGTCTTTTCTTGGACATCTTTGGCGGAAGCAATAATCTGTTCACGGAGCACCGATAAACCATACAGCAGAACACATCATGTGCGTGCATAAGTTAAGCAAAGCAATCGTCTGGCCGCTATTGCAGAAAATATGTGAACAAATATGAAATGGGCTCCTCAACACATTGAATACGAGACGAACCTCTGGAGCAACTTCTTCAACTTTTTCAGTTTTGTTAACAGCACAGAGGACTTCAAATAAGACACCGGCAGTCTGATAAGCTTTACCAAGTTGAGCTCTGCCCACAGGAGGAACAGAAATCTAATTATAAAAAATGCAAGGATGCCAAAATCAGCAAAGTCAAGCAAGACTTACCTATCTGCTTGCTCGCCCTGATCCAGAGCACGGACATAGTTCTCGTAGTATTGCTGATAGAAGCTCTCGATTTCTCGTGCATCACTCTTCTTCACCCTTTTAGCAAGACTCGGAGTATTGTCCTGGAATGTTGGTTCAAATTACAGAGTTCATAATCTTGTCAAAATATCATGACAATTAATTATATACAAGTATCTCCGGAAAGTGAAGTACAAAACCCACAAAAAGTACTATTTTATCCGGTACAAGCTCTCAGCGCGAGCTTACCGAGAAATCATTGCATTGAATACGAAACTTCGCATGCAGAGTTCAATGCCCAATCTGTCATCCAATCTATCGGTATCCCAAGAAGGGCACCTTCTAGTATATAGAAAAGGTTGGCCAAGGGATGGATATCTGAGCAAAGACACTAAATTTGCCAGTTGAAACCAAAAGTTATACCCTGACTTCTTTCACTAGTTCCGAAATATCAACTTTTGAACACAACAGAAAGCCTTTTAACAAGACGCAGAGTCCAACAGCAGCAACCTTTAGAAAAAGCCTTAAAAATTTGGGGAAAAACAATAGATTAAAAGCTAAAACGAATTGGCTTCTGGAAAAGCCACTCCCGTTTTCGTCACAATAGAGACGTGATCCACAAAATTGAAGTCCAATTAAAATTGAAACAAACGAGCCAGAGAGAGTAGTCATGCTAACTATCAAAGAAATTGAGACGCAGTTGCTTTAATGTTCGCGAACGATACAGAATCGAACGGCGATTTCAAGTTCACATGAAATCATTGTCCAAAGACGAAAAACACCCTATAACTAGTGGTGTGATGCTTGAGATCGCACGATGATCTGAGCGGATCTTAAAGCACCAAAGCACAAGGAGAATAAAGAGAAGCAGTAATCTCACCCGCTCGAGGCGCTGCAGGAGAGCGGTCTTGAATTGTCGAACTCCGCGTCCACTGGAGCTGGGATCGAGTCTATGCGCCTTCTCGAACGCATAGAAACGGCCTGCACTCCACCGCAAACCAAACAAAAAAACGGCGTAACGATATCAGATCCCTTCCAAGAAAGAAAACGTAGGAACCGCCATTTCTATCTTTGTTTAGGGTTTCTCGTTTGATAGCGGATGAACCGAGAGAGAGAGAGAGAGAGAGAGAGAGAGAGAGAGAGAGAGAGAGAACGCACATAGGTAGGCGACGCGAGGGCGTTCGGCCTCGATCTCGGACGCAACGCGGAGGATGGGGGCGATGCTTCCGAGCGACGACGGCACCACCTCATTGTCGAAGACCTCCATGGAGAAGGTCGCCATCGCCGCACTTCTCGTCGATGACCGCCGCGTCAGAACCTGAGGCCCCGACATTGGCCCCGTCACCGGCGCAGCCCCCGTTCCCGGGGTAGACGCCGGTTCCCCGCCCGCCATTTTGCACTCTCCTCTCTCTAAGCGCTCCTCAGTAGTAGCAAAACCATAGACAGATCGGCAGTCCGATCGCTAGGGTTTCAAGGTAACGATGGATGAAGGCAGGGTGACTGGGAGCTCCGCCTCCCGGCCTCCCGGTCGCCTGCAGAAACGCATTCAAGATCACCAACGAAATCGAATTCTACACTTCTATCAATTTAGGTTTAATGAGTAGGAGGAGAGTTTTCACCTTTCGCCGGGGAAGAACGAGAGGCGGAGGGGCGCTCCCGGAGCGAGGGAGAGCTGAGAAGACGCAGAAAGGAAGTGTGGGGGGGCAAGAAATAGCAGCGGGATGGGAAACGAGAGGCGTCATCGGTCCGAGTTTGTTCCATGGTTTTTGTCTCAACGAGTGGTGAGGCGGGGTCTTCAGGCTCAGGCAGAACTCGTTGGGCGGTTCCAATGGGCTCTACCGCAGTGTCCGCGGAAGGGGCGCGGCAGCTAGCGCGGGAGCGGGTCCGATTGGCCGTTGGAGCGCCTTCGTGCGGTGGACCTGCGTCGATGCGCCCGACGTACGAGGAGGGCCGCCAAATGGAACGCCTGACGCCCCGGCTCTGTTATCCTTTTCTGGTAAACTCGCTTCCCGTCCCCCAACGACGTCACCCTGAACCATCTCTACCTTCCGGTGCGGTGGGCCCAAGCGTATGCCTCCCGGGGTGTGCGTTGTCCGGTCTTTCCGGCCTTGTTTCTTTTTTAGGTTGATCTTCTTCATCGTGATGCTAAAGAAGGGAATGGACAGTTATGATTAGACTAAGGACGAAGCCGCTTCCAGAGTTTGTTTTGGTAGGGGTAATCTTGACTTGAGGTTGGTGGGTCCATCACCGGGACTGCAAAGTTCTTTGGCCGGGCATTCTCTCATGTCCCTTTATCAAATTAATCTTATGATATATTTTCTTGAAGATTTTGAATTATTGGGAATGTCCGGTACCGTAAAGGGTATTGTCTATAAAATTTTATAGGATACTTACATTATTTAATACGAGGATGATAGATTATGAACAAACATATTTGATATCAGAATAAAGTTTGATTCCAGTTTTTACTGGTACGTATAAATTTATCATCAGCATAATTAAAGAGTAAAAAATAAAAATAAATTTTGTAAAATTTTACATCATGTTTGAAATTAAATCCTACAAAATTTTTACAAATATTATTTACAGAAAATAAGATAAAGCCAAAAGGGCTACTATGACGATGTCATGCGCTTGTGTCCTGACGTCGACATGGGACCCACGATGCGTGCGAGGGAACAGAGTCGTGTTCCCTGTCTCGGCTGAGGCAGGCAGGTGATGTCCACCCATCACGATCTCCTTGGCCCAGGACCGCGTAACGAGATGATAGGATCGTGTTCCCTGCCTCGGCCGAGGCAGGCAGGTGATCTCCACCCATCAAATGATACCGAAAACATCCCCGGAGGGCCCACGCGGCCAGTGCAAGCATATCCATGTAAGCCGATGTCATACGGGCCCCACGGATTGATTGGTCCCGGGTGGCAGAGCACGACCTCCGGGTCCAATCACCAAGTGATTGGGTGGGAGAGGCTTCACGTGCCCCAAACGACGACGCGGCCACGCCCCCCACCTCCCGCTACCCGCCTAGTCAAGTGAGCCCCACCGTGGCCCCGTGGCTCGGGTAATTTACTCACTAGCATGTGCACATGAAACTAATTTCCTACATACTAAAAGTAAAATTATGATATGAAATATCATATGTTGGACTTACAACTCAGGCTACAAGTTATTAGATTTGGATGTCTCTTCCCACTCTCAATGATGACTACTTGTCGTGCTCTGCTCCACTATCTGAGTGCTCGTTTCTTTGGCTCTCACTTCCTATATTGTAGCTGTAATTGCAAATATTAATGATATATGCAAGTATCAAGTAGCTGGATCTACGAACTACTTATATCATTTGTATTCTTTTTTTTATTTCTTAGTTGTAGGCATAGTTCAAAATGTAGATCATACTAATATGTATCCATTGATATTTACAGTTTCGATAAAAACTCAACAATAAAATATTAAATCTAATTTAATTAATAAAATAAAAAAAAATAAAGATTAGAATTTAGTCGGAATCCTATTTGAGCTATCCTAAGAAACACAAAGATAAACAAAAAATTATTTTTTATATATGCTCAAGTGACATATCTTCTCTTTATATAGAAGAGAAAAATATATAAAGATCATGATGACGATATTATAATGGCTATGTGTAATTATAGCTATTATTTTAATATTTTTATTTTTTTAAAAAAATAAAATATATAATAATCTTTCATGAATTATATAATTTTTTAAATAAATTTATTAAAATATAAAAATATTTATTAAAATAAGTTGTTCGGTGCTCATGGGCGAAGTACAACTCAAAACTTCACTTAGTATGAGAAAACAAAGTGAATCAAGTTTTTAACTATGTTTTTTAACCTAGATTTTAACTACCACACATATAATTTTGATTATTCATGAGAATTTTTATAGATTACCTAAGTCCTTGGTTGTAGCCATACATGGTCACTCTTATATAGGAGAGCAGTGTTTAGAATTACAATCTTACGAAAAAAAACCTTTAAATCTCATTAACAGTTATACTCATCATATACCTCTACAAAGGAGCAATAAATCACCACAGGGATAGGGGTTGGAGTTAAACGCTATTTGTGCACCAATGTGCTTTCATTCTTTATTTTTCAATTCACTCCTTGATTAATCAATCCTTATTATTATCACATCAAACCTTATTTAGGGAGTCTCCCATTATAATGGTTAGTTCAATAGTTGGAATGCTCATTATATGCTAACCAATGCTCTCGATAATATTAGGATAATAATCCTTTTATTTGGTACTCTACGTTATCATTGCCACTCTATGCTGAGTAAGGGTCTCCTCTCCATGTGTCTAAGCTATTGGCCGACATGTGGTCGACCTAATATCTCATAAATAGTATAGTAAATAGGCATACTGATTTGATCTTAATCAATGGTAATTCCAATCGGTATAACAAATAGATATAACGACTCAAGATTAGCAAGAGAGATTATGATAGATTTGTATACCTCTATTACTAAACAAATTGTGTAATGCCCCAAGGCACACTAAATAATCTAAGTCCAACCTATTCAATCAGGTTACTAGCTTAAGCATGAGAGGGGTATTATCGAGAATATCTCAACTTAGTTTTGTAGGCATCGAACGTCCAACTCGATGAGCTCCACCCTGACTTAGACTAGAAGAAATACTAGGTTGGATTCGAGTCAACTTCTAGCTCAAACAATCAAAATCTACTCTAATAATTTAACGTTAGAAGGAGAGCCAACCATTCTATCTCAAGGAAACCTTATGAGTTTGTCTTGGATAAACCTTGAAGATTTGAATCTCTCAAATGTCAACAGATAAACTCCGATAATCTCGAATGTTCCTTTTCCAAAATTTTCAATTTTGATGATCTTAATCAAGATCCATTAGGGGGTGTCTATCGATCAAAATCCTCTCCCTATACTAGATCCCCATCCTTTTTTATGGCTCTTTCAAGACTCAATATTTATCTAACTATCTCTCGTGGCTACCATAATCATGACTATTCCTATTAAAACTTTTCATACCCTAATCCAATAAATGCAAGTTTTGAGTGGAATAGTCGATTGCTCCCTATCTTCCTCAACTTGCTCATCAAACATACATTTACTCCATCTATCCTAGCTCTTTGTCCACCTCCAATTTCCGTTCTTAACCTCGTGGTCGAGTCTTCCCCCACCTCAAGCTCAATTAATGTCCGAAGCACCTCCTGCGCTGTTGGTTTGAAACTCAATCCTTTCATCGGGACTAAAATTTCTAAACGAATTGGTTGCTTAATCAGCCAACCTCCTAATTGGGGTTTGAGACTATCGATGGATCAGTGATCAAAGGATATCTACAAAAAAAATAAAGTAATGGAAGTAGTTAGAAATGAATTTATACTTATAATCCCCTTTTACAAAAGATATAAGTAAAGAATCAATCATTAAGGACTTTAGACTTCATAAGTAAAGAATCAATCATTAAGGACTTTAGACTTCTTATGTTTGACGTCTATGATGGGAAATATGACCCTCTAAGGAACGACTGACTCTCTTATGCACACTTTTCTTGACTTTAGAAGGTAACATGTGAATGGTTTGCCAAACTCTCCGTCTAGTCTATCTCCTCCTTTGGCACAATTAGTCAAATAAGTTGAGCTTGGTTTTATCAAATATAAACTCCTAAAAATGCCACCACTTCTCTTCTGGCCAAATATCAGGAGAAAAAGAATTCTTTACAGAACTACACAAGAACGTTTAACAATTGAAGTTTATGAGATACTTTCCTAAGTTCAAAGTATTGGAAGATGAAGCTAAGGATGACAAATGCTAACTTGATGTCAAAAACTAAAATATATACAAAAGAATTCTGATTAGTATAAATTAATAAATTGATGCATGTTTTTTTTTTAATTTTACATTAAACATTTACATACTGCTTGAGGTTTATGTTTGATGTAATATTGTTAGTTCATATAACATTCAAATTGTGGGGGTAAGAGTTAAATATTTTTTAAAATTAACTTATGTAGATGCATAAATAAAATAATATTATGCATGTTAGCAAAGTACATATCATCTTATAAATTACATCTTTGATATGCTGAATTTTCTTACAAACGTGGGGTCATTTCAATAGTAGTGATAATATCATATTTTTCTTTATGAATTTATTTAACATGTGTCATTATTTACTATCTTTGTATTGTGATAAATTGTATATATTTTGGCATGCTGATTTATTGACATTGCTAGGTGTGGTAGTTATTTATTTGCGTGATTTATATCATGGAAGAAGGATTTCTATGCAACATACATCAAACAATGGCTAATCTTGACAAGACACAACATTAATATTTGCAAAAGCATCCCATGTAACCAAGGTAAAATTAACACATAACATAATGATATAGGAACTAATTGAAGTATGCAATAAGTACAAGTGATTTTACATCATATAAAAAATATCTGATGAATAATACTAAGAACCATAAATCATAGCCTCATCAACTTATAATAGAAGGAAAATACTACTTAGGGTCTCAAACCCATTGAAGAATCATCTCATTGTAACATTGGCTTTCTACTTAATTTGTTTTCACAAGTTTAAACCAAAATGCAATCTTACATATGTACCAATTTCATATGACTGTGGCACCGGCCATATAACCAAGCTGAA